ACCAAGCTATTTCTGTGTCTTGGGTATCATAGATTTAGACTAGAGCCAGTATGTTGATACAATTATCTGCATATTTCAGTGTAAGTGTATGCATGTGTATCTGATACTATGTAGTCAATATGAAGAATTCTGAAAGCCCGTTTTCATGCATTAAATAGATGATAGTTGTAACAAGAAAATTTGGAATACCTGTGTACAAATACTACTCTCTGTTGTTGTTAAGTGCTATCAAGTTGAGTGCAACTCAGCAACCCTATGAAAAGATTTGAATTTTATCTTATCCTCTGCTATCCTTATCATCCTCAACACATTTGGGTCCATCACTTGGACAGATACTTTATCAATAATCTACCTCGTTGAGGGTCTCTCTCCTTTTGACCCCTCCACCTTGCCAAGCAAGATACCCTTTTCTAAAGAATAACTTCTCCTAACATGTCTAAAATATGTGAGATGAAACCTCGCCATCTTTGTTCACAAGTAACACTCTGATTGCATTTTCTCCAAGACATCTCTGTTTGTTCTTTTGGTAGTCCATGGGATATTCAACACTCTTTTCTAACACCAATTGTATAGATTCTTCACCTGTCATCCTTATTCACTGTCTAGCTCTCAGATGCTGGAAAGATGATGGCTTGAATCAGGTACACCTTAGTCTTTAAAAAGGACATCAATGCTTTTTAGGACTTTGGGAAAGTCCTTGTCAGCAGACATACATCTCCCAATCTCCTGACTGTTGGTCCCAAGCGTGTTGACTAGGGATCCAAACAAGAAGACATTATTGATAATTTCAATCTTTCCCCCATCTATTACGATGTTGCCTATGGGCCCTGTGGTGAAGATTTTTGTTATTTTGATGTTGAGATGTAACCCATATTGATGCTGCTTCTTGATATTTTGCAGCAAGTGCTTTAGGTCCTCTTCACTTTCAGCAAGCAAGGTTGTGTCATCTGCATAATTCAGGTTGTTTTGCTGATGACTCTTCCTCTGCTCCTAATGCCACATTCTTCATAAAATCCAGCTTCTCATATGATTTGTTCAACGTACAGACTTACTATGTATGAAGAAAGAATATAGCCCTGACACATACCTTTCTTCATTTTAAATCATGCATTGTTCCCTTGCTCTGTCTTGGTCTAGGTATAGATTTCGTATGTTGTTAGGTGCTGTCGAGTTGAGCAAGATTCAGCGACCCTATGAACAAAAGTTATGAACCCTGATCTATTCTGCGCCATTCTCACACTTCCTGACACACAAGATCCCATTGCAACAGTCACTCTATCAATCCATCTGGTCAAGTGTCTTCCTCTCCTTCACAGACCCTCCACCCTTACCAGCATCATGTCCTTCTCCAGGGAATAGCACCTCCTAGCAAACATGTCCAAAATATGTGAGGTGAAACCTCATCATTCTTGCCTCCAAAGAGCATTCCAGCTGCACCCTCTTCAAGGCACATCTGTTTGTTCTCTTGGCCATCTATGGGATGTTCAGTGTTCTTTTCCAACACCACCGCTTAAAGGCATCAATTTTTTTTCTGTCAGCCTTATATACATATATACTAGAGTATCTAGATACATACATCTAGAGCCAAAGAGGAATAAATGGAGAACTTTTACCAAATCTTGCAGTCCAAAATTGACCGAACATGCAATCTAGATACATTAAACTGGAGAATGGAATGCAAAAGTAGGAAACAGTGAAGGAAAATAGGTAGCTGGAAAATATGGGCTTGGTGATAGAAATGAGGTTGGAAATGGAATGACTGAATTTTATATTTACAATGATTCATTCATTGCAAATACCTTTTGTAAAACACACAAACAATGACTTTACATGTGGATCTCACCCGGTGGGCTGCAGAGAAATCAAATTGACTATATTTATGGAAGAAATAGATGGAGAAGCTCAGTATCGGCAGTAAAAACTAGGCGAGGGGCAGACTGGGTCAGATCATCAGTTACTCATACGCAAGTTTAAAGTGAGGCTGAAGAAAATTCAAGTAAGCCCACAGGAACCAATATACGATCTTGAATCAATTCCATCTGAATTTAATGATCATCTTACGAATAGGTTTGAGGCATCAAACACCAATGATATAAGACCAGATGATTTGTGAGATGATATCGTAGATATCATCCATGAAGAAAGCAGAAGGTCCGTACAAAAAAAGAGGAGATAGAAAAAGATTGAAATGTATGTCAGAAGAGACTCTAAAGAATGTGTGGGACTGTCAAGACACTAAAACAAAAGGAAAACGTTGAAGTGAAAAAAGCTGAACAGAAGATTTCCAAGGGCAGATTGAGAGGACTAAGCAAAGTATTATAATGGCATCTGCAGAGAGCTGGAATTGGTGAACAAAAAGGGAAGAATTCACTCTGCATTTCTCAAGCTGAAAGAACCAAAAAACAACAGATTTCATACAAGAATGATTAAGAGTTCTCAAATTCCCATTCTCCTCAAGGTTATCTAGAGTTTGCTATGATACACATAGTCAAATGCCTTTACATAGTCAATGAAATGCAAATAGCCATTCTTCTGACATTCTCTGGTTTCAGCCAAAATCCATCTGACATTAGTAAAAATATCCCTGGAGCCACGGTCTCATCTAAACCCAACATTTTCTTCAACAATATTTTGCTTGCATGGTATTAATGATACTATTTGATAATTTCCACATTCTGTTGGATCATCTTTCTTAGGAATAGGAATAAATATGGATCTCTTCCAGTCAGTTGGCCTGAAAGCTCTTTTCCAAATTCCCTGACTGATGCATATACCTAGGGCTGCATCTGTTATTTGGAACATGTCAATTTGTAGCCTATCGTTTCCTGGGGCCTTATTTTTTTGCCAATGCTTTCAATGCATCTTGAATGAGAGTCTTCTGTCATCACTATTGACTCTTCATCATATGCTACTTCTTGAAATATTTCAGTGGCAACCAATTCTTTTTTGTTCCGCTTCCCTGTGTATTCCCTCTACCTTCTTTTGATGTTTCCTGAATTATTTATTATTTCATTCATTCAAATATTACTAGTGGTATAATACTACTACAGGTTTTATGATATTATCTCATCTTCAGTGACTGTACCTGCCATTCAGAATCTTTTTTAAAAGTTCATTGGTTAACATAAATTCCAGAAATATCTTTAAGTTATAACTAAAAATTTCAACTGGAAATCTGAGATCAAAAGTGATGATTTCTGAATCATAGGAAAATCACCACAAAATGATAATTCCATATATACTTATAATTAGTCTTAGTGGCATTAGCTAAAAGATTGAAAAGTTACATGAAAACTGTACATATCATATTATAGTCTATTAAGGTTTTTTTTTTCTTACTATGTGTAAGACTCTTTATCTTTCACTGGTCTTCACATATGGTTTTCCTTTCCTAATGACAAACTGCCTTCCCTTCTCTCTATAAAGTTATTGTAAAGCCAGTGGAGTTTACTGCTACAACCTCAAGAATGACTGCACAAGGTGAAACATTCAATACACCTAAGACGTGTACATTTTGTTGTTTGAATTCAATTAAGTCACTATTTTTATGGGTCACTGATCATTGAAGTAAGAGGTTGCCTACACTATATCCAAAGTTAAGGAAGTCAAACAGTGCATAAAAGGACTAGCAAAGCTTTCAGCATTTTGTGCCACCTGGGGGCCTCTATTAAAGTCAAACACTAGAGGTTTACTTTTGGATGAAATAATCATCTATGAAATTTTAATGTAGCCTTTATTATTTTATTATCCATGGTTTTATTATTCCTTGCTGCATATTTTGGGGATGTATAACCATTATTATATAAGAACAGTAGGATCTATTAATGTGCCCTCAGTAATAAGCTGCTCATGAAGATAAAACATCTAATCACTGGCTTAGAAAGCAGGATTCTGAGATTACTGTTGGGCAAGGCTTCTGAATTGTCAAGCAGAAAGTTACTTCCTTATTATGAACTGTGGAAGCAGAGCTAAACAATTTTCCATGAGGGTTTATTAGCAGGCATAGGATATGAGTGGGTGAGCAGAAATACTGAAGATATACATTTTAGTGTCCAAAAGATTTAGAAATTTCATAGCATGAAAAGAACTTTCTAAAAAATTAATAAGATCTGTTTCACAAATTACCAATTCAACTGGAACACTGAATAGTAGAAATGACAAAAGATTTGTTATTATGGTTAATAAAAAATTTATGTTAGGGTATTCAAGTAAAGTTATTTTCTGTGTTCTGATTTAATGAATCATGTGAGTTGTATCTGGTTGGGTGACACAGATGCTAGCTCACTGAAGCCTACTCTAATATCTCCCAGCATAGTCTTCCTTGGGACAGTGAAGGCAGAATAACATGTCAGAGTGAAGTAATATCAAAGAAAGGAAAGCAGGGCTGGAGATGCCATGAGGCTGGCTCCTAATACTTTTTGACCTGTCATCGTCTTGTAACTATTCAATGTTCTATGGGCTTCCAAGATGATGTAACATTATTGGAAGAAGTCTTAAAACCCAGTAGTGATTTTTTAAAAGACTAATGAGTAAATGCTTTATAATATGTAGTGTTAAGGAAATAATTTTTTAATGCTTGATTTTAAAGATGTATATTAAATTTAAAACCACACTTTTCTGTTACCAATGATAAATTTGGAAAAAGAAAAGGAAATAGTATGAGATATGTGGACAAAAATACAGAAAACAGAATAATGAGGCCTACTTGGGATAACAAAATGCTCTATTATTTCCTACATGATGATACTCTTCTCCTTCAAAAGATAACAAACAGTAATGACAAAGAACCGGCCCTCAGAAGACAAGACTAAAAAAATAGTGTATAAAAACATATAAAAAATAGCATGTATCTCGTTACATGAAAATTATACAGTTACACAGGAAAGTAAAACAGAAAAGTTAGGCACAAAATTTTCCAAGACAGAAAAATTAGTCATTTTCAAAGTGAAAATTCGTCATTTTCCAGTATCTGGAGTAGAAAAATTTGAATGAGTACTTACAATGACAGCAACACCATAGCAATTAAAGTCCATTCTGCAGGTTTGTGTATAATATTTCTACTTGTTAACCTGAAAGAGAGAATTTCCATAATTAAATAAATCTTCTATTTCTAGATAAAATCAGATTTATGGCATCATGCATTAACAAAGTACCATTTTTTATGCTTGCTAATTATGACAGAAAATAATCAATAGTATAATAATATGGTTTGATATTCAGTATCTGACAGTGGCCATTTTAAAACTAAGTCCCCCAGCTCACTTTTATATATATTCATAAAGATACTAATATTACAAGACAAGACGGAAATGGAGGAAAAATATGGATGCATAGACCAGGTTGTTTATTAAAAAATATATAATAAAAATATTAACATGTATGTGTTGTTTGTTGTCACAGAGTTGGCGGTGATTCCTGGCAATCTTATACATAAGAGAATGAAACGTTGTTTAGATCTGAGCCAGCTTTGACTGTTGGTATGTTTGAGTCTAGTGTGGCTATTATGTCACTGCATTTCATTAAGGGCTTTCCTCATTAACTATCTTGCCAAATAAGAAGTATTTCTCTAGTTACAGTCTTTCTTGATGATGTAGCGATAGGAAGTACATTAGAGTCTTGCCATCACTTAGGAGGAGAACTGTGGCTGTATTTCTTCTAAGACAAATATATTTGTTCTACTGGCTTATTTCATATTCTCTAAAACTATCTTTTCAATTCATTAGTTCTTTCTATCACATTGTACGTAGTCTGCATGCATAAAGTTATTGAAAAGATCATGGCTTGAGTCATGTACATTTAGTTGTTAGAGACTGTAGGTTCAGTTCTAACAACTCTATGTAAAAAAAGAAAAAAAGAGTGAAACACTACCTAGTACTTACTTATCCTTACCATTGTTGCTATGTTTGAGCCCACTGCTGCAACCTTTGTGTTAACTAATCTCACTAAGGGTTGTCTTCTTTTTTGCTATGATGCCCTTCTTCAGGGAATGTGTTCTCTTGCCAGGATGTCTAAAGTATAGGAGATGAAGTCCCGCCATCCTCTTCTAGGATAGATTTGTTTGTTCTTTTGAACAGTCACATGCTTACTCACTGCAACTGAGTAGGTTTTAACTCACGATAACCTTTTTTATCAGGTTTTCAAAGACTAAACTGCAAGAGGAGACTGTCCATCTTTCTCCAGTGAAGCTGCTGGTGGATTTAAACTCAAAGAGATATATAACCTTTGGGCTGGCAGCACAAGTCTCTGGTCAATATTCTTTGCCAACACAATAATTCAAAGGCATACGTTTATCAGCATTTCTCATTCATTAACTTTTCCTAGCTTTTTCATGCTTATTAGGAGAAAGTATCATTGTATGGGTCAAGTGTATCTTACTTAAAAAAAAATTATATATTTCCGCTTTAACACTTTGAAGTGGTCTTTGTAGCAGATATGCTCAGTTCAAAAAGTTACCTAATTTCTAATGATGGTTAAGGGACAACACTTTAGTTATACATATGCGTGTATGTATCATTCACTCATTGCCATGAAGTCAGAACTGACCCACAGCTGATCCTCCAGTGGGTTTCTAAGGCTGTAAATCTCACAGGAAGAGACTGCTTACTACTCTCCTACACAGTAGATGGTGGATTCAAACCACCAGGGAGGTGTGGCTTTGGGTTTGCAGAACAGGTGCATCAGAGCCCCTGTATGTGTGTGTGTATATATATATCCCTATAATTAGATTCATTTTCTCCTCAAAATATTTTATTAGTACTATTTGATTTTTCTTTTAGCTCATCTTTTGTACCTTTCCACTTTGTGCAATAATGGAAGTAGATAACTAAGGAATACATCTGTAGAGCAGCTGCCATTCATGTTGGCCTCATGAATGTCAGATGAGAACTGTTCTTCATAGCATTTTCAATGGCTGATCTACCAAAGAAGATCATCAGGCCTTTCTTCCAAAGTGCTCTGGGGTAGTTTCTAAGTTTCAAATTTTAGTCAGCCGAGTTAACTTTTTGTACCATCCAAAAATACATCATGGCATAAGAATAAGCAAATCAGTCTTAGAAGAAGCATAACCCAGATGCTCTTTAAATGTAAGGATAGTGAAACTTTAGTTAATTTACCTTGTTGTTGTTGTTGTTATGTGCCGTTGAGTCGTTTCCGACTCATAGCGACCCTATGCACAACAGCCCTAAACCCTGCTCTATCCTGCGCCAACCGCACCGCCTCTGACACACCCATCCCGATTACCCCAGTCACCGAATCAATCCATCTCATAGAGGGTTTTCCCCTCCTGCGCTGTCCCTCCACCCTCCCAAGCATGATGTCCCTCTCCAAGGACCCGTCCCTCCTGGCAACATGTCCAAAGTATGTCAGACGAAGCCCCAGAATCCTTGCCTCCAAGGAGTAGCTTAGTTTAATCCTCTCCAAGATGAATCTGTTTGTTTTCCTGGCAGTCCATGGTACATTCAGTACCCTTCTCCAGCACCACAGCTCAAAAGCATCCACTCTCCTTCTGTCCTCCCTAGTCATTGTCCAACTCTCTGATGCATAACAAGCGATTGCAAATACCATGGCCTGTATCAGGCGCACCTTAGTCTCCAGAGAGACACTGTTGTTCCTGAGTACCTTTGAGAGGTCCCTAACAGCAGACTTTCCCATCGCGATACGCTTTTTGATTTCCTGACTGCTTGTACATGTCATTAAAAAAAGACCAATTTCTAGAAAAACGATTTTACATTTAGAAAAGCAGGGGGGTCACCAAATACAAGGGAACATTTCCATGAGGTGGTCTGTCTAAAAGAGGTAAAAACTGATTAAGCATATATCAGAAAAAACAAAAACAATAGAACTTCCCTTCCTAGTGTACTCAAATATCCCAGAGATGAAACAGATTTCAGACTTCATAAATTCATTCAACAAAACTATACTGACTGCCTCTTTTATGTCACTGTTGAAAGCATAAGAAAAACACAAATTTTTTAAAAAAGATGAGGTCTTTGCAGAATAGCAAACTTTACTTGATCTCCTAATTTTTCTCTTGCTTAGCCAAAATAATTTCCTGCTAAACAAATATTTTTATTGTCTGAATTATAATTAAAATTAAAAAAGTAATATTTGATAGCAAACATGTAAGAAGCTCATAGTTCCAAATATAAATTTGAAATTCAATACAGATTTAGAAAAATATTTCATCACAGAAGAAATTTAAAAAGGATTTCACGTCAAAATTTAAATTCAGAGCAACATCTAGAAAAATACCTTAATTCAAATGATAAAAATCAGTCATTACAAACCAATACTCCTAAGAGAGATAAAGCAATGTAGCATTCTAGATAAGTGAATAAAATGCCTTTCAGTGGAAATGACAGCTCTATTCATTGGGGAAAGATTTTTCAAAGAGCTGAAAAAAGCACCTTTAAAGTAGTTCTGAAATAAGCTCTCAACTCTGGCTGCACATTAAAACCACCTAGGGAGCTTTTAAAACATACTAATGCCTGAGCCCAACCCTAACCAAATGAAACTCAATCTCTAGGGGTGGAGCTAGGCATGTGTAGTTGTTAAAAGATCTCCAGGTAATTCTGAGAGCTCAACTGGTCTGAGAATCAGTGTTTTACAAGCTTCTGTATTGATTATTATTTCAAAGAGAAAGATATAGTTATTTATGCCCACTCTTTCTCACTTTCAGTATTGATTGGAAAAGAAATCTCTCAACACTAGTCACTGTCATCAGTTGTGGCTTGTGCTTTCCCAGTGGCTTCACCTGGAACCTCTAGCCAATAAACAGACACATACCCAATGAAGTGCCTTATCAGAATCTGAAGCACTAAACCACTTACCTTATCAGAAGGCATTTGTAAGCTGCTGATATTTTTCTAAATGGTCCCTAGGATAATTCATGCAATTTTTATTAAAGTTATAGATTTTGATGTTCTGCACTAATTAATAAAGAAGATTTTAAAAGATAATTTATTGATTCACATGAAGGATTTTGGAATAGAGTTTTATAACACTTACCAAAATAGTAATTATTCTCATTCAAAAAAAATGTGACAGTGGGGAAATTATCAAACAATATTAGTAATATCACACACAAGCAAAATTCTGCTCATGATTATCTAAAAAAAACTGGAACAGTGCATCAACATAGAACTACCAGAAATAAAAGCTGAGTTTATAAGAGGCTGTGGCACTAGGGACACCATAGACAATGCCAGATAGATCTTGATTGAAAGGAGAGATTACCAAAAGAATATCTGAGTATCACTGACTATGCAAAGGCATTTGACTGTGTGGAACACCTGATTATGCTTATGTGTTTGGACCAGGAAGTAGTCATCAGAATAAAGCAAGAAAATATTGCAAGGTTCAATATCAGGAAAGGAGTGTGTCAGGAATGCATCCTGTGTCTTCATACCTTTTCAATCTATATATGGAACAGCTCATTCAGGAGGCTAAACTTTTTAAGAAGGAAAGTGGCATCAGGATTGGAAGAAGACTCATCAAAAACCTGCATTATGCAGACACACAAACTTGCATGATGCAACTGAGGACTTGAAAATGTTTGTTGCAGGAGGTCACGGGATACAATCTCCAATATGAATTGAAGCTCAACATCATGAAAACAAAGATTCTCATCACTGGGCCAACTGGCAGCATCATGATAAATGGAGAAGAAATTGAGATTGTTAACAATTTCAGCTTGCTTGGCTCCACAATATTCTTGGCACCAGCAGCCAGAAAAATCAAAAGATGAATTGCATTAGTAAAACCTGTTTCAGGAACCACTCAAGAGTGCTTGTGAAAACGGTATTAGACTAGAGACTAAGGTATGCCAGATCAAGGCCATGACCTCTGCAATGACTTGCTATGTGTCAGATAGGTAGACAATGACTAAGGATGACAGAAGAAGAATCAATACCTTTATGTTGTGGTGATGGAGAGGAGTATTGAACATACCACGGACTATCAAGAGAACAAACAGGTCTGCCCTAGAAAGAGTGAAATCAAGTTGCTCCCTGGAAGCAAGGATTTTGAAGCTATGTCTCATATTTTGGGCACGTGGTCAAGAAAGACCAGTCCTTAGAGAAGGACATCATGCTTGCAAGGATGGAGGGTCAGTGTAGGAGGGGAAGACCCCGGATGAGATGGATTGACACAGCAACTGGAATAATCGGAGTACACGTTTTGGAGACAACGAGAATGGCTCAGAATAGGGGAGTTCAGAGCTATTCTACATTGGGCCACTCTAAGTCAGTCAACTCAACAGCACATAACAACAACAGCCAAAATAATGCATAGTGTGTCTTAATTTTGCCCAATTTCATAATTTTGATTATGTACTGCTTACAAAGTTCATATACATTGTTTTTCACACTATCATCATACACATTTCGTTTCTACAATCACTCCTATTCATTTTATTTTGTAAAATTAATTAACACTGAAATATGTCCACCATTGTCCTGTCTTTCCAGGTCCCCACCAATCTTTCCAATTTCCTTCATCCCTTCTCTCCACTTATCAAATTGTAGAACCCTGTGATTTTGCCCCTACCCATCCTCACCCCTCTGCTCCCACTCCTTCCACCCTTGCAAAATTTCATACACTGCTAGTGGGATTGGAAAATGGTACAACCACTCTGAAAGGTAGTTTGGTGTTTTCTCAAAAAGCTGAACCCAGAAACTCCACACGAATCAATTATTCCACTACTAGGAATTATACCCCAAGGAAATTAAAACTGGGACACAAAAGGAGATTTGGATACCAATGTTCATAGCGGCATTATTAATCATCACAGGAACATGGGAACAGCCCAAATGTGCAACCAAAACTGAAAAGATTGAGAAATTGTGGTACATTCACATAATGGAATACTATGCAGCACTCAGAAGCAATGAATTAAAAAAATACTACAGAACTTGCAAGAGAATGGAGAACATTATGCTGAGTGAAGTCAGTCAGTCTCATAAAGAAATCTACTATATTGTAAAAACAGAAAGATATCTTGCCCAAATTTTTATTAAATTACAAATAACACCTATTTTATACTGCAGAGTAATTTAGCATTTAGAATTCTAAATGTGTTATTTTAAAATATCATACTTGAATGTGAATGCATATTTGGTATAATAAACTTAGAGTTCTTACACTGTAATGTTTAGCTTTTAAAATATGAATACTGTTAACAACAAAACACAAACTCTGGTGGTATACTCCTAATCCAATCATGGCTTTGAGAGAAAGATGTAAACCCATTAAGACTGACGAAGGGTTGAGTTGGATGATAAACTATGAGTTGGAATTGACTAGATAGCAGCGAATTTGGTTGTGGACTCGTGGCACTAATAAAACTTTTCCTTTTTAATATAGGTTATCCATAAATAAATTACCCCAACAGACTGGAATAAGAGAGGATAGAAACAGTATTGTTTAGCTGTGGAGAAAATGAAACATGTTAATTAGATCTACAGCACTGAAGGTAAATATTTAACTTTGGCTTATCTAAGGATCCAGCAAGGGAACTGCAAAAAATCAAAATGACAGAGAAGAAAAATTATTAGTTTTAATACTAACCTGAAAGTTTGAATAAGATTTTTTAATTGTGTATAAATGTCTCCCAGTGTAATCTGAAGAGGTCCCACAAGTCCAGGCAATCTGAAAAAAAAAAATTATATTTACTTTAAAAACATAGAATTTAACCATACAGGTATCTTTTTGGTCATATCTTAGTCTGAATTTACTGTGGTAATAAAGATAGTTAAGTAGAAGCCGTCATGATTTGGAAAAAAGTTAAATCAGGTCAGAAGTCCTCACAACATGTCCAAAGTATGTCAGTCAAAGCCTCAGAATCCTTGCCTCCAAGGAGTCGCACGGTTTAAACCTCTCTAGGATGAACCTATTTGTTTTCTTAGCAGCCCATGATACCCTCTATACTCTCCTCCAGCACTACAGCTCAAAGGCATCAATTCTCCTTCTATCCTCCCCATTGTCCAACTCTCTGATGCATAACAAGTGATTGCAAAGACCATGGCCTATATCAGACACACCTTAGTCTACCAAGTCTACCAATCAGAGAGGGATCACAAGTCACTTTCACTTCTTTCTACTAATTTGCTGAAATCTTCTGTAGTAAGAGAGGATTACTGTTTTTTAAAGCTGTACTTAAAAACACTTTCGGGAGAAAAAACAAAACCCCCCAAAAAAAGCACTTTCAAGCAAGCTGCAGAACACAGAGAACAGTAATGTTGTTATTGTTAGCTGTTGTAGAGTCCAGTATAACCTATAGCGAACCTATGAACAACAGAACTAAACTCTGTCCTATCTTGTGCCATCCTCATCATCTCTTGTCACATTGAACCCACTGCTTTTGTTATCATGTTAATCCATCTCACTGAAGTTCTCCTTTGCTAACCCTCCACTTTTCCTAGTATGATGTCTCATTCCAAAGAATAGCCTCTCCTAGCAATATGCCTAAAGTATAGGAGATGAAGCTTTGCTATTCTTGCCTTATAGGAATACTCTGGCTGTATCCCTATACTTCTGTATTCAGATTCAATCTCTTAATATTTCATCATATTTATTTCATTATACCTTCTATATTTTTTACCATAATATTTTAAAACAAATACCAATACTGTATCATTTGGCTATTAAATATGAAAACACTGCCTTATTAACAAAAATAATTTTAATAAAACTAACAGTAATTTCCTAATATTACATAACACATAATTATTGAAAAAAATTAGTATGCAAGAAAAGTTTTGATTAATTTTATTTAAAACTGCCTAGAATCGTTATTGATAAAAAAGTGCCAGAAATTCAAGTGGGATTATCATTGCTAATGACAGATGGACTTTGACTAAAGGCAGAGAATTTCAGAAGGACATCTATTTATGTTTTATTGACTACATTGAGAAGACTTGGAATCCCAGAACACTTAATTATGCTCTTGTAAAACCTATACCTAGACCAAGAAGCTGATGATAGAACCTTGCTTGCTGAAAGTAAGGAAGGTTTGAAGTGCTTGCTGTAGAAGATCAAGGACTACTGCCTTCAAGATGGATTATATGCCAGCATCAAGAAAACAAAAATTCTCACCACTGGGCTAATAGGTGGCATCATGATACATGAAGATTGAAATTGTCAACAAAGTCATCTTACTTGGATCCACATCAACATCCTTGATGCCAGCAACAAAGAAATCAAAAGACAAGATGCCCCATCAACAAATGAATGGATAGAGAAGCTCTAGTATATTCACACAATGGAATACTATGATGCATTGAAAACAAGGAACTCATGCAATATTATTCAAAATAGGTGACCCTGGAGGACATTATGCTGAGTGAGGTATCTCAGTCCAAAAGGACAAATACTACATGGTGCTACTGTTGCAAAACAGGACTGACCTTGGGGTTAGGAGGAGACTGAGAAGGATGGGTTCAAAAATGTACACTGCATTGAAACAGATAAGGGAGAAAACTGTTTGACCGGTATCTAGAGTGAAGGCTACATGATGAAGAGGACCTGGGGGAGGGTTTATAAAACAATGAAAGAATTTTTGTTTTACTTTTACAAGAGGGTAGTGTACTAGGGGGGAGGGTTGGGACGGGAGAAGAGTGCAACAAAAAATGAATGGAAATCCAAAGTCTCTGTAAATTTATACTGAAATGAATAATAAATTTTTAAAAAAAGACAAGATGCACTAAGAAAATACTGTCAAAACCTCTCCAGAGCACGGAAGATAAGGATGTCAGATTAAAGAGTAAGGTGTGTCTGATCCAAGTCACGGCTTCTCAGTTGCTTGCTAGGCATCTTAAAGTTGTCCAATTAATAAATATCACAGAATAAATGTATTTGAATTGTGGTATTTTAGAAGAGTACCAAATACCTCATGGATGTCCAAGAGAACAAACAAGGGAAACCAAGCAGGTGCTCCTTGGAGACAAGAATAGCTAACTTTGTCTCACATACTGTGGGCATATTTTAGGAGGAGCCAGTCCTTGGAGATGGACAGAGGGATGAACACTATACTTGGAAAGGTGGAGGAAGAAAGGAAGATTCATACGAGGTAAATTGATAACAGTGATTTTAAGAATGGGCGCAATCAGAGATAGTGAGAAGGGCAAGGTTTAGATCTGCTATTCATAGAGTTGCTATGAGTTGCAGTCAACTCCACAATACATAATAATGCCCAATTAATATTTTATTTTCTCCAGTACAATCCATTTGTTTAAATCAGAACTCAAATATACCAAAAAGTGTAAGTACTTTTATGATCAGGTAATGTTATGTATAATTGAGTTGAAACTGACCCTCCAGTGAGTTTTCAGAAGCAGTTAATCACATGAGAGGAGAATGCCCATCTTTGTACTGCGGAACAACTGGTGGATTTGAACTAAACTCCTTTGAGTTGGCAGTGCAACTCCTTACCACTAAGCCACCAGAGCTCCCTATGTTGTTGTTTTTATAAATCCATGTATGTTTTATTAAAAAAAAAAACTTAATTGCTTTCATTAAACAATAAAAAGCTTTGCTTTCAGTGTACTTTGCACTTTGTCTTTCACAAGTCATTTCACTTCTTCACAAACAATATAAAAGATCTGATCTTCCAGCAGGATTTCTTCTGGTATGCTGCTACAACTAACACTCAGAAGAAACGGAATTTTTTAAATGACATGGACTCACAAACAATGCATGGTAATAGCAGTCAAGAATTAAAAGACACGTTTCATTGGGTAAGTCTGTCAAAACTTTTCTAAAGTGCTGTAGAGCAATGATGTCAGGTTTAAAACCATGGTGCACCTGATTCAAGTCACAGTATTTTCAATTGCTTCCTATGGGTCTGAAAGTTGGACAATGAATAACAATTGACAGAAGAACTGATGCTTTGAACTATAGTGCTGGAGAAGAGTAGTGAATATCTCATGGACTACCAAAAGAACAAACAAATCTGGATTGGAAGAAGTGCAAATCAGGCTGCTCCGTAGAGCCACAGTTGAGAAACTTGAGCTCACATACTTTCTGCATATTGTTAGGAGGTGCCAGTTTTTGAAAAAAGACAGCATGACTGGAAATGTGGAGGTTCAAAGAAATCTTTCTTAACAAGCAAGATTGATATGGTGACTTTAACAATGAGCTCAAGCATGTAAAAGATAATGAAGATGACTCAGGATAAGGCAGGGTTCTGACCTGTTGTTCACAGGGTCATTATGAGCCATAATGGCTCGATGACACCTAATAACTGCAACAACTGTTACTGATGGTCCATGTCGACTTTTAAAAGCTAAAGTCAAGGGTTGAGCTCTTCTTGTCTTATGAATCAGACAGAGGTTGACTTATATTGTTTTTTTAAGCTAAATTTTAAAGATAAACTTTTAAGTATGAGGATGAGACAAAAAAGCAAAATTAATACAGATATACAATATATGAAGAGTCTAATATTACACTTATAAGGCATCTTTTAGTGGCATCTCTCTCACAGCAACCCTATATTATATACAACAGACCAAATTCCTGTCCATTATTCACAAGCCCACTATTTCAGTCAGTGGGTCAATCCATCTCTCTTAGAGTCTTCTATCGTTTGATGACCTTCTACTTTCCCAAGCATGATGTCTTTTTCCAAGGACTGGCCCTTTTAGATAATATGCCCAAAGACTGTAAGGTAAGTTTCACCACCTTTGCCTCTAGGTGAGCATCTTGGTTGATTTCCTCAAAGACACATCTGTTGCTCTTCTGGCAGTTCACTGTATATTCAATATTCTTTTCCAACACTATAATTCAAAGTGATCAGGTCTCCATTGTCCCTTCACATGCATGTGTCAAACTTTCACATGCATATGAAGCAGTTGAAAATATTTATCATGGCTTAGATTAGGTGCACCTTAGTTTTTGAACTGATATTCTTGTTCCTTAGCTCTTTATATGTTCTTCAGAGTAGATTTTCCCATGGCAACATGTATTTTGATTTCTCGACTGTTGTTTCTAATGGTTGACTGTGGATCAAAGGAAAATCAAATTACTTCAATCTTTTCCCCATGAACCACGATACTGGTATAGTGGTGAAGATTTTTGTTTTCTTGATGTTGAGGTGCAATCCATACTAAAGGTTGTAATTTTTTATTTTCTACAATAAATGTTTCAAGTCTTCTATACTTTTAGCAAGCAAGATTGTGTCATATGTATAATGCAGGAGGTTTTTGAGTCTTCCTTCAGTCCTTAGTCACATTTTTCATATAATTTCTCAGCACACAGATTGAGTTGGAAAGGTGTGCTGAAAGGATAAAACCCTGATGAACACTTTCGGTAATTTTAAACTATGCAGTTAACTCCGTGTTCTGTTTGAATTTCTGTTTCTTGATCCAAGTCCAAGTTCCAGAGAAGCACAATTAAGTGTCTGAGATTCAGTATATATTAAGGTAAATATTTATTCTAAATGTAAAGAAGAAAAAGCTTGCCACTGGAAACTCTATGAACTTGGAGAAAAGATGGAAGTTTTCTGTTCAAGACTTTGGTTTATAGGGTCACTATGGGTTGTCTACAATTCAATAGCACTTGACAACAACAACAATAGTATTAAAGGAGTGTGTTCTCTCTACTGATTAATCTTTTATTACAGACTAAAGACGTAACAATTAACTATTTCAAATTTTGCTTGAAACAGGTATTTTTATATCAATGAAATAAGTATTTTTATGTCAAATAGTCATATCTCACTATCTTACAGGTAAGGTTTTCTATCTGGGCTGCTCAAAATACAAAGGCTACTAAGAAATATGTCTTTTTCTTACTTTCAAACTTGTACAAAATTAAGATTTTTAAAAAAATACATCCTATGTGAATACACCTTAAGAAAACAAAGTACACGTCTCCATCTTTTCTGTTAAAAAAGGAAGAAAATGCAGGTTGAAAAGTTTAAGCCAGCCCTTAGAATTCTGGAGAAAAGATTTTCATGTACTTTTTGAAAGAGAAACTAAAATAGCAATTTTAAAATGTCATTTATGACTAGACTAATTACAAGAACAACAGTTTCCACCATGGGAAGCTAAAATGTAATGAAAAGCTGGGTTGAACAAAAGCTCAGGAGGCTGAGTGTTAAACGGTTCTAAGCATGTATGTGGCGTGTGTTAACAGACTTAAAACTTTATAGTCGCATTCAAATGTCAAACTGATGAGATATACTTAACACAAAGAAGTTTTTAAGTAGGCCTAGCTTTGATACTTTCCCCCTGACTTAACTGTACTGTATTTCCTTTCAACATAACTTTAAGATATATTAAAAACATACTTCCCAGGTGAAAATAAATCACTATGAACTTTCCACATATTCAAAATGCTCAAAATTCAAGAAAGTTAGAGGGTCAGCAAAAGACCCTCAAAGAGATGTACTGTCATAGTGGCTCTAACAATGGGCTCAAGTATGTCAGAGATGAGGAGGATGGCTGTTCATAGGATCACTAGCAGTCATACCAGACACAACAACATTTAAATGATTAACTTATAATCAAGTTAATTTAAAAATATTATAAAACTGGAGTGATAGTTACATACTTACACTTTACTCAACTTTTCAAGCACAATGCGTTTTCTAATCTGGTTCTGAGAACTTGAATCTATCAGTGGAATGGTGGGATCAAGCTGAATCAGATTCTGAAACAAAACAAAGGCGAATCAAAATTTTACATTTTTTCTCAGATATGTAAGAACAATCAACATTAAAATTCAAAAGTTTACTTGAGACACATAAACACAAGAACTCAATTTATAACTAGAAGGTTTGAGTAACAGTTTAGTCAATTAACCTTCTGTGAACTTAAGTGAGCCACTTGCCTGCTGTCTTTTAAAAGTCTTTTCATATGGAAAAGAAGGATGAAAATGATCTTTTAGGGAGCTCTCCTGGAATAGAGATAAGTAGCTGTGCTGTCAACCCAAACATATGCAGTTTGAATTTACCGGATGCTCTGTCAGAGAAGGATGGGTAATCTCCTGTGATTTATTGCTTCTGAAAATCCACCAGAGTCAGCTATAAGTTGGTTCCAACTATTTCATAATGATCATGACAATGATTTTTTTCCCTCCAGGACATTCTGATGGAGTAATCCATAGGGAATTAAGTTGCTAACTCAAAGGCTACATCTCTTTGGCAGTTTGAATCCACCAGCAGCTTCTGGGGGAAAATACGGGTAATCTTCTGGGTAATTTACAGCCTTTGTACACTCAATGGAAGCTCAGCTGAGTCAGTTCCGACTGGAAAGCAATGCGAATGTTCCTTTTAGAGTCTGGAGGCCGAGCAATTAATTGCTAGGCTCTTAGCCTGAAAGCTCAGCAGTTCAAACCCACTAGCCACTACTCAGGAGAAAGATGTACAATCTGCTTCCATAAAAATAAACAGACTTGGAAGTACTATGGATGGGATTGTTCTATTCTGTCTAATAGGACCCCTATGAGTTAGAATTTGAAATAGGAACTCTCTTGTTAAGTGAAAAGTATACAAAAGAACTTTGTAAATTTGTAGTATACAGATCATACTCATTTACTGCCACAGAGAGGGTTCTAACTCATAGCAATCCTGATAGCAACTAGTTTTCTGAGGCTGTAAATTGCAACAGATGGAATCTACCCATCTTTCTCCTTTGGAGTCAATGGTGGATTTAAACTGTTAAAACCTTGCAGCCTCTGGTTAGCTGTAGAATTTGCTATAGACTGTGCCACCAAAGCTATAAAAATAGATTAAATAATTAAAATTAGCAAGTGTTATAAATATGTGATGGGAAATTTTGCTTCCAGAAAGGCAGACCAGATCAGTCAAATAATTTCTCTGGTTTACAACTGAAGAAGCTGGGGGGTGGGAAACAAAACAAAAGGGGGAAAAAACTTCACATTTGCTTTAAAGAATCAGAGAACTAACAGGGCATGAAAAAAAACCCCAAAACCCAGAAAAACAAAATAGTTTGCTGAGACACTAGAGAGATCATTCTAGTCCAGTTCCATTTGAAGGAACTCAGATACATATTCTGAACCTGAGTGTAGTTTTTCTAATAAAAATTAAAGTTTGGGGCATTCCAGAAAGGGGTATTGGTAACTTTTCCCTCAAACTCCAGGCTTGGGAACAAGACCTAGAAGACCACATGTCACAGAAAGAATAGATAGTAAATAGGCTAGCTCTGACAGGGACTGATGCCTAATTTCTCTATGATCCATCTTTATGATTGGATTAAGGTGGTTTGAGATTGCTACAAGTCATCTCGCAGAAGCAAATACAAATCTAGTCTAGAAGTCTAGTAGGAGACAGAATTATCCTGGATTTCAAATTAGCTCTATAATTTTTTTTAATGTACAATTTTTGGCACAGGGTAAATAATGATAAAATAAGATGATCACAGTCCAAAACATTCAACCACCAAAATCAATCCCATGGGATCCAGATGATAACAATATAACTAACTTTTCTCATGCTAAATGGCTTTGTTTTTAAGGCAGTACATCACATCAATAAAAAAAATGCATAAAGAGTAATAAGAGATTCTCCCTAAAACCAGTTTCATAAACTACCATTGCTTTTAATTACTAATGCATTTAGCAACCATTTAATGAATACTAATTTAGTGTTGCAAGTGCTTTACATAATTAAAACTCAATAGTTTTTAAAGGTAAATCATTAATAGGCCCATTTAGAAATGAGCTAACAAACTCAAGAGGCTTTATATAACTTTTTATATAGCAAAGAAATAACAGAGCAGAGATTCAAACATGAGTCTATCTGAATATGCTAGTTCTACTCTCTCCTATATCCATTATTTTCCAGGAAGTCTCCTTTATTATTTAATATATTTCAAATGGGCACATTCTCCAAAATTACCCTGATGAATAATTTACTATTCAACTGGTAAGTTTATTCCATTTTAAAGAAGCCCATTTGGAGGATGGGTAAGAAGACTAACCCATACTCACTGTAGAAACTTGAAAGAATACATACCAACAAAGCAAGTCTTTTCAAAGACACACATAAAAAATTAAGGTTGAGGGTTTTTTTTACGTTGTTTTAAAAAATTTTCTCATATTTTTAGACTATTTTTACATTAAAGAAAAATGTTCCACACTTAAGAAAATTTGCAGGAAAAATTGTCAACTTATTTAGAAATGTCAAGACACAATTTTAAACCAAAATGCAGAATTTAAGAATAAAATCAGGGGAGCTCTGGTGGCCTAGTGGCAAGAAGCTGCAACTACAATCACAGAGGTGCACGGTTTGAATCCACCAGATGCTCTGCTGGGGAAGGAGGGGCAATCTCCTCCTGTACCAGTCAGATCTGATTTGACGGTACATGCACACAAAAATAATTGGGGGAGCTCTGGTGGCCTAGTGGCAAGAAGCTGCACTGCAATCCCAGAGGAACACGGTTCGAATCCACCAGACGCTCTGCCGGAGAAGGAGGCGCAATATCCTCCTGTACCAGTCAGATCTGATTTGACGGTACACGCACACAAAATTTAAAAAAAAAAAAAAGAAAGAATAAAATCAACTCCTAAAAATTTAATAATTACTCTTCACTGTTCTCCCTGTCCCAAAATTTATCATGGTGAATTTTTCATGTTAGGAGAATGAAAAAACAAATCATTAGGTCATACCTTTTTTGAGTCTTGTGATTTGGTAGGTTCTTCATTCAAAATACGTTGTCCTCTATAGAACTCCCTGACCCTTAGATTTAATGTTTCTGTTTCTTTTTTCAAGTTCTCATAACTAGGTAATGGTTTAATGGCTGTATCTGAACCTTTGAAAGGCAACGACTCATCCAAGCTGGTCTGAAAGTCCCTTAAGGCAAAAGAATGACTGACTAGGTCTGATTTAAAGTCATCTTCATCAAGTTCTTTTGCTTCAATCAAAGGAGCTGGAGCAGCTTTCGGGCACACAGTAGCATAATTCTGACCATACAGAAACTTCAAAGTTTCTTCTGTCTTCCATTCATTCAAAGTCTCCTTTAGGACTGTAAGTAAGTTAGCCTTTGCAACTTCAAGACACATTTGCACTGAACTAGAGGCTGACCTAGTTTGGTTTGATTTGGCAAATTTCCTCTTAAAATGTTCTGTACTTTTCTTACTTATGCCTACTAGTGTTATTTCTGAGCTACTGTATTTGTTTACAGAATTTTCTGAAGCTTGTACATTTTCTTGCAAAGGACCATTTGAAGAAATCTGAGTGTTGACATTCTCATGTGAAGGAGGTACATGAACAGCAACTTTATTCTGACTATCTAATCTGCAATTGTCTAACTGCTCAATGACATCTACTATTGTTTGTTCTTCGTTTTTGTGTTTGGAGTTAACTTTATGATCAGCTTTCTTTTTCATTATGCTTTTTTCGTGCAGTGGTGGCCTTAAACTTGTTACGTTTGGTTTGTTTCCTGGAATAATGGAGGAAACAAAGTCTTGCTCATCATCACTGCTACTATCAGTATAAGTACTGGAAGAACTAGATTCATACTGCTTTTCAGAATAACCAGGATTGTCGATATCAGACATTTTAATGGCCTGACTGCATAACTGTACTTCTTCTCCAGAATGGCCACTGTGGAGGAAAAACAAACAAAATAAGTACAACAGGAAAGCAAAGTATCCTACTATACTTAGAATTTGTAAATTTCAAAGGAGACATTTTTTTGTCCTCAAGGCAAAGTCTTGTTATAGGGTTGGATATACAAATATCCAAAGGCTTTAATTTCTCTATAGCGAGTATGTATTTGACGGTTTTTCTTTCATCACCATCATCTTATCTTTTTTTTCTCTTATTATATATGATGTTTGCAGAATAAGCACAGCAAAAAGAGACATTTGGTAACTGCATCCTACTAAGACATCTTGACTGCTGCCTATCCTTTTTTTGTGAGTTTATATAATTTGAAAAAACGTTTCCTTTTGAAAAATTTATTACTGGTTTCTCTAAAACCATACATAAGAACCCTGTTAAGAAGGATAAAAACATAAAAAGGGATAGGAAAATATTTTAAAATTTTCACGGACAGTCATACAGAAGCCCTCACAGACGATAGATGGAATAAAAACACAGTCATGTTGTTATTGTTACGTGTCAGTGAGTTGGGTCTGACTCATAGCAACCCTATGCACAAAAGAACGAAACTTGCTCAATTCTGTACCCTTCTTACAATTCAGCTTTGCTTAAGCCCCACTTTTGGAGTCAGTCACCGTGCCAAATTATATTGTTGAGGGTTCTGGGTTGAATAAAATTGGAAAATAAACAGTTATCAATGAAAGATATTTAAATTTGAAAAGGCAGGGCTTTACCAGAATGCTAACAATAAAAGATTTACTTATTTTTTTAAAAGCTTTCCTTTGGAATATGCTATCTTTATTTTCAAGTTAGTTTGAAAGTGATTAATGTAAGAGTGAAGACATAAAATAGCTTTGGCAATGAAAACTTGAGACAAACAAGGACAGATGGGAACCTGCTTCAGACAAACCCACATTCACATAAAAGATCAGGATAAAGAAGAGTTTTGGGTCAAGAAGCATGCTGGACAAAAAGTATAAAAGAAATTTTAAAAAACCAAATAAAACAACCAACAAAATATTTAAAGAGCTGAAAACAAGGTTGTATATGGATACGTTTTTCATTATCTTATATGTATTGTTGTTGTTAGAATCTCATCTTACAGCTATGCACTGACTCTAAGATCAGAAAAGAAATAAGTAGAATTATTTAATTTCATAAAAATTATAACAATTTAATCTTCATATATTTCAGACTTTCTCTTGGAGGTAGGATTTTAAAACAGCTATGTTTTTCTACAAATTAAAGATATGCATCTTTCTCCCTCATCCTCAATACCATATAATGAAGGTTGTGACTAATAACTAAGGAATTATGTCCTGGGAATGAAAAGGCTTATTTTGAGAGATGGCTATAACTGTGTAAGCAAAACTGTGAGTAAAGCTTTTTAAGGATGAAAAGAAAATCTTAACTTGGAATTTCTATTACTGATTTAGATATTCTTTCAAATAGTTAAATAAATGATATATTAATGTCTCAAAATCCTATAAAATTCTAAAAAACCTTTCAACAGATGTAATTGGCACAGTTTAGATAACAAAGAACCATAGTATCTCAGATGGAAGTTGTGTTTGTATCATATTTCAACAGGTTCAATTACACTTCGTCAGTAGGACCAGCTGTACAATAAATCATACAACTCAAACACAGCACCTTACCATCACAAAAGAAAAAGCTAAACAGGCCAAATATTTCTTTGTGTTGACTAGAATGTGATACTTACATAATGGACCAATAGAGGACGTTCAAGAGCTCATATCACCTGGTTTACTAAGAACATGAATATACATACTGTAAGTGATACTAACTCAACCATACCTTTGTCCTTCTTTTAGCAGCTGGAAATCAGGGTAACTGTAAAAAAAGCCACAAAAATAGAAAATGAAGGAAGAAATAGCAAATGACATGTCAAACACAAGTTCTTACTATAACTTCATAGAAGTAAAAGAGAATTAATTAATATAAAGTTGTTCTTTGTGAACAAACTGATAAAGTACTGTAAAACTCACTAACAAGGAGCCTGAAATAATTAGTTTTCTCTAATTCAAAACTTATTCAATTGAGAGCTCAGGCCAAATTCTTCCAGGCTAATAGTTTTCTCTGACCAATCTGGACTAAATTCCAGGGTCACCACTGTCTGTATACAAATATATTAATTATGCACTAAGCTATGCAGCACTAAACTGCTATCTAAATGTTTTTCTTTTTTGGTTACACTATACACTAACTGGAGGACAGAGATCATATCTCAAAACCCTTGTGTATTCCCTGACATGATCAGTAAGACTTTTAACCTTAATTTCTTAGAAAAATTACATATATAAATACCTGAGAAAAGTTATACATAAAGTTACAGTATGGAATTGAGTTAGGTAGGTCTAATGATTTAACTTAACTCTAGGAAGAATTTTGTTATACAATCAAAATAAAAAATAATCACATTTGTCTGAACATCATGAATGCCAAAAAAAGGGGGAAGAGTAGGAAGGGAGTTTATTCTTGAAAACCCAAGTATAAGAAGAATAAAAAGCAAATGAAACAGTAACAAGCAAAGCAAAAATATGAATCTAAAGCTAGCAGAGCAGATTCACAAAACCATATACTATTTTTTTTCTTCTCCTTTATTGTCTCTCTGACATCAGGCAAAGAGACTAGCTTAACAGTTTCTACATGTGAAATGTTTTATGAGTAACCTCTTCTGATTCTCCATTCTATGAAAAGAACTAGATTTGAGTTTCCCAAGATACTACAGTAGTATATGGCCTTGGGTTTGCTTTGTTATGTGTTGCTTGGGAGAAAGCACAAGCACCAAGTTACACTGTGCTTCTTTTATCATCCTTGTTGAGCTCCCATTCAAACTTGTGTTTGATTTGTATCAAGCAAGGATCCTTTACTCTTTCACCAAGTTTATGTTGCACTAGAGATAACTGAAGGCTCACACTTCAAAAATCATGTAAAAAAACAAAAACAAACCCACTTTGGTTAAAAATACAGACAAGCTTTATTATTTGTCAAGATTATTTCTTTTAACTTTAGCAAAGTCTAAAACTACAAGAACTGCTTATGCCAAAATAATGTGCATATATAAAAACGTGTATGAGATAGTTAGAATGTATATAAATAAAAACCAAAATAGCGTGGTGAGTGAGAATTTTTCAAATGTAATTTGAAACATGTAAAAACCTATTCAGAAAACTTATTCTTTATACCAAGCAACAGAGGTGGCTGCTCAGGAAGAGGTTACAGAAGTTGTTCAGCAGAGGTTTTTGGCTTCCGCACCTCTGAGATTATGTTTATTGTAATGTATGAAAATCCCCCATTATGGGCCACATGATGGTGCCTTTAGCTCTGTCAGCATTAAAAATTACCCATAAAATCATAATTAGATTTAACATTAGAATTTCTCAAATTCCTTATTTTTTAGATTACAATTCAAGCAACTTCCTTCCATTAAAGGCTTGTCAGAGCCTATTTTAGCCAAATAGGATTTATTTAAAAAAAAATTATATGATTACCTAAAATGAGCAAGTAGTCTCAGAGTATCAGAACTGTTATGTGGTCTGTTTCTGGCCATTAAGCCGGTGAAAATTTTCTAACAATATGAGACGCAACAGACTACGTCATTACCTGAGCCACCCAGGTCAGTGTTTAGCTTTTAATAGAGCATCTGAAGACATTTTATGAAAAGTACTACTACTTTCCATGGTGTTAAGACAAAAAGCCACATTTTCTTTTATAGTTCAGTAATTAAAAATGTGCAACTAGACAATTTTCAAAGTTCTTTTTCACTTTAAAGTCTCTAAAAGAGTATGGAACTAAAACTCATAAATTTGCTTAAGTCTATCACCCAAATTTATTTATATATCTGTACTGGTGAGATAATGAAATGAGTTTACTAACTATAGTATAAAGTTTTAACTTAAAAGTTTTACATTAGGTTTTACAGTACCGAACCAGACACAGTAAAATCTAACACTGGATTTCCAAATGGTATATAAGAGTACAGTGTATCTAAAATATATACTCTGTATATTTTCACAAAAAATACAATTAAATGTATAAATAAAAGGGGGAAAGAGAGTAGACAATATCAACTTTAAGATCTACTCTAAAATATCTATGATTTTCTTCATAATGTAGAACTCTGATTCTATTCTTGATAAGTTTATAGACAAACTTTATAGTCGAAATAATTTAAGTCAACTTTTTTTTTAGTATTTAATTATGTTGTTGTTAAGTGCCACTGAGTTAAACACGACTCATAGCAGCCCTATGAACAAAAGATCTGAACCCTGTTCTGTTCATTGTTTAAGTTCATAAAATTTCCAGGGGCACATTGTTTAGGAAGTGGATGTCACTCCTGTTTCCAAATCTGTCTTAATCTGGGAACTCTACCAAACACTGTCCACCATGGGTAACCATTATGGTATTTTACCTACCAGCAGCAGTGTTCAGCGTTACAGTAAACCCAAGTTACCTCAGTACAGCAAATTGACAGACCAGTGCTATATACTTAAATATATAGTCTTAGAAGAATGTTAGTCCCAAACATCATTAACACCAGTCCTGAGGGCCCAACCAACTTTTCATTACCAATGCTCTCCATCAGGTCCTGCTGACTCTAAACAAACAGCTTCCCACCCACAGCTCAAGATCATTGTTAGCAAAATCCAGCAAATTCAATCAGCTCACACACAACTGTGAATGAAATAAACAACCAAACAGTACACACCTGACCCTCAACCAACACAAAACATGCCACCTTCCAGAATCCAGCCCCTTCACACATCAGCCTCCAAATATTTTATCCTAGATTTAAAATTTTTATTCTAAATTCTTATACTACTTGTCGTCAAGGGCTACTGAGTGAATTACAACTCATAGTGATACTAAGAATCACTGTTTTGAACCTTGCCCTATCCGTGCCGTCCTCATCATCCCTAATATACTTGAGCCCATTTATACAGTCATTCTGTCAATCCATCTTGTCTAGGATCTTCTTCTCTTTCACTGACCCTCCACCTTTCCAAGCATGATGTGTTTTTCCAAGGACTTTTCAAACAACATTCCCAAAGTATGTGAGATGAAGTTTCACCATCATTACCTAAAAGGAAAACCCTGGCTGCATTTACAAGCAATTGAATAGATATTACCAGCTGTATTTCATGTAGTAAGGATATATACTGTTTCACAAAACTTTTTGTTTCAATTAGCTGAGATACGTATTGGGTCATAATGTAAAATATGTTTATAACAGTGGCCAAACAATGGCAATAAGACATTTCTTATTCTGAGTGAATTAAAAATACAACGTTATGATGCAATTGACTTTCATTGTGATGACCTATTTAAGCTAATAAAATGATCTCTGTACTAGAAACTAAATGATGACACTCTGAAAGAAACTGTTTCTTCCCCACGTACCTAAAGCCATTTTCCCTTCAACAGGAATATTGTTTTTTAATGGTATTTAAACTATAAACAGATTTTCTTTAACACACATTCCTACACAGTTTTTATATGCAACAGCTACCCGAGCTTAAAAAAAAACCCCAAAAAAACCCAAATACAAAAAAACTGAATTCTAGAGTTTCATTGTGAAAAACCAGCGACCTCTAGTGGATTCATTAAATACCTGACATGATGTCAGCCTCAAGAATTTAGAAATTATGGAAATTCTGATCTATTCAGATATAGAAGATATTGATATGCTGTCAAAATCATTGTTAAAGACACATGACTAATAGCTACATTATTATGGAACAGAGCAGATACACATATTTTAGATATTAGTCACTGCTTCTAATCCAGTGTAATATAATTAATAGAATCCTAGTTCAAAATCTATCATTAACTTCTTCTTGTTGCTGTGTACCATCAAGTCAGATCCCACCCACAGATGACCCTCCTGAGAATTTTCAGGAGCATTTCATTGCACGGGAGGAGATCGCCCATCCGTCTACTGTGGAGCAGCTGGTGGATTAGAACCACATGACCGGCACTGCAGTGCAGTTTCTTGCCATTAGCACTACAATTAATAGTTTTGAGTTTGTTTGATAAAGGTGTTGGGATTAATTATCTCTAAGATCTTTTCAAAACTTAGAGGAGTCCTCCTCTAATTTGTTTTATACACAAATGCCATACTAAATTCTGTACAAAAACATCGGATGGGTCCAACCACTGTGGAAGGCTGTATGGAGCTTTCTCAGAAAGTTGCAAATAGAGATACCATTTGACCCAGCAATTCCACTACTGGGAATATACCTCAAAGAGACCATAACTGACATCCAAACAGATATATGCACACCCATGGTTATCACGGCTTTGTTCACAATAGCAAGGAGAGTTGGAAACAACCTAAGTGCCCATCAACAAACGAATGGATAGAGAAGCTGTGGTATATTCACACAATGGAATACTATGCCACATTGAAAAACAAGGAACACATGCAATATTATTCATAATGGATGACCCTGGAGGATATTATGCTGAGTGAAGTATCTCAGTCACAAAAGGACAAATACCACATAGTGCCACTATTGTAAAACAGGACTGACATCGAGGTTGAGGGGAAGACTGAGAAAGATAGGTTCAATAATGTATACTGCATTGAAACAGATGAGGGAGAAAACTGTTTAAAAGGTATATGGGATTAGGTATTTTTGTCATGACAGGTGTCTAGAGAGAAGGCTACACGGTGGAGTGGACCTGGGGGTTTGTAAAACAATAAAAGAATTTTTGTTTTACTTTTACAAGAGGGTAGTATACTAGGGGGGAGGGTTGGGAGGGGGGAACAGTGCAACAATGAATGAACAGAAATCCAAAGTCTCTGTAAATTTTTACTGAAATTAATAATAAATTAAAAAATTAAAAATATGAAAAAACAAAACAAACAAAAAACAAACCTATGTCCAAAACCAATGAAGAAACATCTCCAAGTTTTTAACAGAAAATGTTTTTGTATTTAGAATTCTTTACCCACTCTATTTATCAATCAAATGTGAAAGGACATAAAAATATGCATGAAAAAACCTAAACTCAATATTATACTTAATGGAGAAAAACCCCCAAAACAAGCCATCTGATGACATCCTAGAAATTGAGGATATGACAAACTTGCTTATCTTTATCTTGTTACGTGCTATCATGTTTACTAAGACTGATAGTGACCCAATGAAAAATGGCACTGAACCCTTTCCTATCCTGGACCAGACCTCACTGTCCCTGATACTTGATTCCATTGCTACAGTCATTGTGTCAATCCATCCAGGGTCTTCCTCTACTGTGCTGATCCTCAAGTATAATGTCCTTTCCCAAGGCCTGGCCACTCCTGACAACATGCCCAAAGAATATGAGACTTTATAATCTTTTATTCGTGCCTAATGGTTGTTTTTGTTCTTGTTATGCGCCGTCATGTCTCTTGTGACTCATAGCGACCCTATGTACAACAGCCCTGAAACCTGCTCTATCCAACTTTATTGCTAGTCACTGTATCAATCCATCTCATGAATGATCTCCCTCTCTTTCTCCATTCCTCCACCCTTCCAAGGATGATGTCCCTTTTTAAGGACCAGTCCCTCCTTGCAGCAGGTCCAAAATACATAAGATGAAGCCTCATAATCCTTGCATCCAAGAAGCAGCCTTGGCTTTACCCTCTCTAGGACAAATCCATTTGTTCTTCTGTTTGTTCTCCTTGCAGTCCCTGGTATATTCAAAACTCTTCTCCAGCACCACAGCTCAAAGGCATCAATTCTCTTTCTATCAAGTGCACTTGATTCAAGCCATGATCTTTTCAATTACTTACTATGCATCTGAAAGTGGACAATGAGTACGAATCAGAGGAAAAATAGATGCCTTTGAGTTATGGTGTTGGCGAAGAGTACTGAATATCCCTTGGACTGAATATCCAAAAGAGAAAACAAGTATGGCTGGGATGAACTGCAACCAGGGTGCTCCCTTAGAGGCAAGAATGGGGACATTTAATCCCACATACTTTGGGCATACTGTCAGGAGGGCCCAGTTCTTGGGAAAAGATATCATGCCTAGAAATGTAGAGGGTCAAAGAAAGAGAGGAAGACACTTATCAAGTTGGGGAAACACAGTGACTCCACCACTGTAACTCCACAGTAACTGAACCAAGGGTTTGAGTACAATAGGAATGATGAGGATGGAATAGGATAGGGCAAGTTTGAAATCCATTGTTCAGAGGATAGCTATGAGTCATAGTCAACTCAATGGCCCCTAATAACAACAATAACTAGACACAAGGAGGGCCCAGTCCTTGGAGAGGAGACGCCATGCTTGGGAGGGTGGTGGGACAGCAAAGGAGAGGAAGACCCTTGATGAGATGGATTGATTCAGTGAATAGGGTAATGCAGGTAGATGTGTCAGATAAAGTAAGGTTGGTACAGGACAGAGCAAGTTTCAGGGCTACTGGACATAGGGTTGCTATGAATCATGAACAACTTGATGGCACATAACAACAACAACAATAACAGGCTTCATGTTTTAGTAGAAAAAAGGGAATTCAAACAAAATACAGTTAGATTTTTAAGAGGCTATTGCAGATAAAACAAGCTTTAAATTAGCTAACTGAATTAAAAAATAAAAATGTAAATAACAATGTTTGAAAAATGAGAGATAATAAGAATGGTGGATTGGCAAATGATTCTGAAGCAAGTATGAGAATGGTATCCACAGATAATAAGTAGAGAAGATATTTTTGGAAGCTAAGTGAAGGATTACTTATGGAAGCATTGGTCTTAAGAGTATGTAATGGGTAGCTCCTTTCTTAAAGTGAAAATGATTCAGGGTTGTTGTAATAAGGATGAGGTGACAAGCCCGTGCGGTGAAACATGGGGAATGAGTTAAAATGTTAAGGAAAAAGGTATTCTAGTCTGATATTGTCACAATCTTTCATCTTCTATTCAAGAAAGCCAAAAAGGCTAGTGGAGAAATTAAAACTCTAGTCCTTCAATACTTTTAATTCCATTTAAAAAGCTATATAAAGTGGAATGTTTTATATATTCCAAGTAACACAGGACTGGCAGGCAAGGTGTGCCAACATTATTTGAAGAATGTGTCATCAGGATTTGAGGAAGACTCATTAACAACCTGCATTAAACCTTGCTTGCATCAGGTGAAGACTTGAAGCACTTACGAAGATGAAAGATTACAGACTTCAGTATGAAGTACATCTCAACAATGAAAATTAAAACTCCTCATAAACTGGTCCTAATAGGCAACATTGTTTTAGATGGAGAGAAGACCAAGTTGTGAACTATTTTATTTTATTTGGATCCAGACTTAGCACCCCTGGTAGCAGCAGTCAAGAAATCAAAATATCTGCTGATAAGGACATCTCCAAAGTGCTAAAGAGAAACTATCAGTTTGAAGACTAAACTGTACTTGATACAAGTCATAGTATTTCTAATTGTTCCAGATTTATCTGAAAATTGGAAAATGAGTAAGGATTGACTGAAAAGAAAGGAATCTTTTGAGTTGTGGTGATGGAGAAGAGTAGTGAATAATCCATGGACTGTCAAAAGAACAAACAAATCTGTCATGGAGCCTGTGCACTGAAGGTGCTCCTTAGAGGTAAGGATGGTGAAACTTCATCTTAGAGACTTTGGGCATGTTGTCAGAAGGGGCCAGACCTTGGAAGAAGATAACATGCTGGAGAAGGTGGAGGATCAGACTGAGAGGAAAACCCAGAATAAGATAGATTGACACAAAGGTCTTGAGCATAGGGGAGATCATGAGGAGGTGGAGGATAGGACAAAGTTTTCATCTGTTGCCCATAGTCCCTTTCTGAGTTATGCAAGTCAAGCCAGTACCTAACAGTGACAATAATTTTTTCCTTGTTCTGAAGCAGAGTTCATTAGTTAACTCATATCTTATTAAAGTCATTAAATTCATTTAGGTAAGATACTCACTATCCAACTGTAAATAACAGTCTTGTGTTGTTACAAAGGTGTACTGGTGGTGCTGTTTTAAAAAGATGCAGCTGTCTGCCTCTATAATGATTACAGCCTTGGAAACCCTATATTCCCTGCTACAGAGTTGGTTCTAACCCATAGTTGCCCTCCATAGGCTTTCCAGGCTATAAATCACAACAGAAGACAGCCTACTTTTCTCCCTCCCTGGTCTGGTGGATTCAAACTGCTGGTGACACACAGTCTTTGGGTTAGCAGCACAACTCTGTAGAGATGGACTATGCCACTAGAGCTCCCTTGGAAACCTTATAGGGTAACCCTACTTTGTTAGGTATAAAAATTGTTATCATTTTGTTTTGTTATAATACCTTTGCCTGACACTGGGCTCCAATCATAGGCTGCCCGAGTTAATACACAAACTTAACCAATACAACTCTCTATCAAATAGTATGGTGTTAAGGACAAATACTGCATAAAACCATTATTGAATGAGTATGAGGATCCAAGGGAGGGGAAGGTGGAAGCAGAGGGGTGAGGATATGCAGTGGGGGAGGATTAATCATGGGGTCACACAATTTGATAGCGGAGAGTGAGGGAAATGGGAAGGATCTGCTGTGAAAAACAATGCATTCGAATTCTGTAAATAAACTATATATGATAGGGTATTATAGTTATCACAAGAATCCAGAATTAACGGTGCATAGTGGAGTGTACCTGGAGCGGTGGGAGGGGTGCGGGGGGATTGTATACCAAAGAAAGAATTTTTCTTTTACTTTTTCAAAGAGAGGAGCAAACTGGGGGAGGGGGGACCGGGGGCAGGGAGAAAAGTGCAACAATGAATGAATGGAAATGCAAAATCTCTGTAAATGTTCATTAAAATTAAAATAAATGTATATGAATGATTATATAAAACATATTATAAATGAAAGATTGTATAAAACACAGTATAAAAAACAAAACAATGTATATGAATGAAACATACTGTAATGGTATTATTATACGAAAATCAAGAAAAAATATTAACAAAAACCCCAATATGTTATGGTGCATTACGTCATGACTCTAATATTTTGTTTGGGATCCTAGTTAATAGTTTAATTTTCATAACAATAATTTACCACTTTTTAATATTATGCCATTTCTCTCTTAATAAATTTTCTCTGGAATTCAGAATCCAGTAAAATAGTGCAAATATTTCAGCATTTCCCAAGAAATGAAACCATAGTAATCCACACACATTTTTGGAAAAATATGACCTTAAATGGACCTTTTCTAAATTATTAAAATAATGTATTGATTTTAACAAAGATCAAAAGACTGAACTTTTATTCTTACAGCAGTTTCTAGTCTCAAGTCCCCAGAGTTCAATTGTATTCTAAAATTCAATATCTTCTGGAAAACTTAGTATTCTTATTCCAGGATGTACAGACTAACAAAATTCATGGGGGTGCAAGCAAAAAGTCAAAATGAAGTTCTTATTTTGCAATGAAATCTGAAACAGTAAATAGTAAACAGATAAACAGCATTTTTACATATAACTTTTATGGCTTTTATATGTAAAATACTGAATTCTTATACTTAGAAATATAACCATTTTCCCATAATTAAAATGTGTATAGTGCTAGCATTCTCAGAAAACATCTGTTTATCTCAAGAAATTATTAAAAATACATACATAATAATTTCAATTACCTTTCTTTTTCTCGAATCCATAGTGGAGTTTTGGGGATCTGTGCTTGGAAATATTTAGATGCTCTATAACAAAAACTGCTGCAAAAAGACTAAAAAGAAAAGGTGAAAACTAGTAAATTATTCTTATTGTGAAACAGTCTATATACAGAGATTATAAAAAGAAATAAAAGCCATGATTCTATCGCCCAACTTAGGAAATAAGGCACAGTACCTTTGATGGCCCCTACGTGTCTCCCCTCATTTGCCTCAATCTTCATATTCACATAATAACTACTATCTCATATTACTATCTTATTTTCTTCAATTTTGCCAACTACATACATATTCCAATACAATAAACTATTCAGTCTTTTCCTTTTTAAAAACATTATTATCTATATGGACTCACATTGTTTTATATTCTTGCTTCTTAGGTTTGCCACTGTATTAGTCCTGAGATTCATTTGTGTAATTGTTAATTCATTTTCACTGTGCATTACATTTTAGTGTGTATGCTGATGGTTGTTTTTAAGTGCTATCAAGTAGACTATAACTCAAAGCGACGCTATGGACAACAGATCTGAACCTCGCTCTACCATGCTATAGTCCATTGTGGTAGTCACTGTATTAACCAACCATCTTGTTGACAGTCTTCCTCTCTTTTGTCAACCTTCTAACCTTTTTCAGCATGATGTCTTTCTCTAAGGACTGGTTCCTCTGAAAATATATCCAAAGTAAATGAGGCAAAGTTTCATATTCTTGCCTCTAACGAATATTCTGGTTGCATTTTCTTCAAAACAGATTTGATTGTTCTTTTAGCAGACTATGGGGTATTCAATACTTTTTTCCAACACCACAATTCAAAGACATCAATTTTTCTTCAGTCTTCCTTATTCATGGTCCAACTTGCAGATGCACAGGAAGCAAAAGAAACACCAAGGTGTTGACCAGGTGCACCTTAATCTTTAAACTGACATTCGTGCTCTTTAGAAATCTGGAGAATTCTTGATGACAGACCTCTCAATGCAATACATTTTTTGATTTCCTGACTGCTGCTACTACAGATTTAGATTGTAAATCCAAGAGAAATAATTGAAATGTCAATCTTTCTTTCCAGCTATTATTATAAACAAATTAAGCATTTCCATTGTTCTTGCTATCATTCAGTATAGTACTATAAAGAAAAGATTTATACACCTCTCCCCCTCCAAGAATAGCAAGGACTTCTTAGAATGTTATGTATAAAAGCTCAACTTTACAAACAAGCCCAAAGAATAGAACTAAGAACTCAAAGAAGTATATCTATCCAACTATGGACAGTTGATCTTTGATAGAGATGATACCTATTAAATTGGGAAAAAGAGCCTCTTTAACAAATGGTACTGGCAAAAATGGTTATCTATTTGTAGAAAAGTAAAATAAAGTCCATACTTAATGCCATATGTAAAAATGAAATAAAGATAGAACAAGGACCCAAACATAAAAGGTGATTTAAAAAAACCCCAAAAGCAAAACTAGGGCAAACTTATGAACCCTATACTATGGCATAGACTTTCAAATACAAATGAAAATGCACTACCAGCATAGGGTAAACAAGATAACACAGACCTTCTAAAAATCAAATCCTTAAGTGTATCAAAAGACTTCAAAAGAGTAAAAAGAGGACTTATTGACTGGTAAAATATTTGGTAATGAAACCTGACATAGGACTTATCTTTAAAATTTCTACTCAGACACCTTAACAAGAAAAAGACAAACAACTCAAATTAACAAAATAGGCAGAAAACATGAAAAGACATTTCACCAAAGAAAATATTCAGAAGGCCAACAAACATATGAAGAAGTGCTAAAGATCATCAAAGAAATGCAAAATAAAATGCATTATGTTATCATGTCACCCAAGAAAGAATAGCAAATTCAGTTAAGATAGCAAAAACAAATGCTAGCAATGATGTGAAAATATTGAAACTCTCATATACTACTCCTAGGAATGTAAAATCATAAAACCAGCATAAAAATAGTTTCGTGCTTCCTATGTTGTTTCTGTAAGGTGTTGTAAAGCTGACTACAATTCTTAACAACTCTATGAAAAACATATAGGTAGCTCTGGTGGCTTTTTGTTGTTGTTAGGTGCTGTTGAGTACAACTCATAAGAACAACAGTATGAACACTGTCCTATCCTGTGCCTTCCTCACACCTTCCAATACACTTGAGCCCATTGCTGTAGTCACCATGTCTCAATCCACCTATCTGAGTGTCTTCCTCACTTTCACCATCCCTCCACCTTCCTAAGTTTGATGTCCTTCTCCAAGGAATAGCCTCTCCTGGCAAAAGCATATGCAAGATGAAGTTTTATCATCTTTGCCTCCAAGGACCACTCTGGCTGCAACTTCTCCAAGACTTATCTGGTGGCTTAGTGGTAAGGAATTAATGCTGCCAATGGAAAGATATTGCGGTTCGAATGCAGTTGCTCCAAGGAAGAAAAATGGGACATCTCATCCTGTGCAGTTTACTATCTTTGAAAATCCACTGAAGGGTCAAATATGAGTCAGTTCTGATATGATGGTATGTTGGCATTTACCTTTTAATATAACTCTTCCTAGTTACTGTTTGACTTTGCTATGTATATGTGAGCAGGAATACTGTGAATGGGGCATGTTAGCCTATCCTCAAGCGGACTGGCTATCTACAATTCCACAAGGAGACTGGCCGGTCTTAACAATCTACAAGGGGATTGGCTAGTCATACCAATAAATTGAACAGCTTTAGCCAGAGACACATCTTCTGGCACCACTGAACAAGAAGCAAGGGAATGTAGGAAGCCCTTCTTACTCCAGCTACAGCTAGGCAACAACATCTATGGCAGCAACTTCTATGGCCAAACTGGAGACCTGAGAAGATGGAACCATGTGGAAGAGGGAGAACCAATATTGGCAGGATTGAGAACTTTGTTAGACAACTGGGGTGGGAAGCCAATACTGGACTGACAACTTGGGAACCCTGGCCTCAAGCCATGAAGATTGAGGCTGAGATGTCTGTGAGCACATTTTGAGAGATATTTTTACTATATTCTGTTATTAATCTGAATTATATAACCTTTTAACTTCCCCAATATGGTTATGTGTGGTCTGTGAGCTATTATATCAGATTCTGAATACAGGAGCATGGGGGATATGTATAACTCCATAGAAATTGGTTTTGTGTTATTGACACTGTTGACAAGAATGGTTCCTGTTTGTGAAGCTGGTAAGAAAACAAACAGGTTCATCCTGGAGAGGGTTAAACCAGGCTGCTCCAAGGATTCTGAGCATTTGTCTGACATACATTGGACATGTTGTAAGGAGGGACCTGTCCTTGAAGAGGGATATCATGCTTGAGAGGGTGGAGGGACAGTGTAGGAGAAGACCCTCAACAAGGTGGACTGATTCAGTGACTGGGATAATTGGGATGGGGATGTCAGAGACAGTGAGACTGGCACAGGACAGAGTAGGGCTGTTGTACATAGGGTTGCTATGAGTTGCAGGCAACTCCACAGCACATAACAACAACAACAACATGTATCTATCTAGAAGACCTCACGGCAAGTCAAATGTCAGTCAAAGGACAAATATTGCATAGGACTTCTATTATAAAGAGATAAGGAAAGAGAAAAACAGAATCATTGCTTAAAGTTACCAAGAGTGGGATAGGAATGAGAGGGTAATAAAAATTAATAAACAGAAAATAAAAATTAATAAACCGAAAATAGATGTATATTAAGATGAGTTTAAAGAAAATCAATATACAGAGGCTTTGATCAGCATAGTATCAGTGAGGGAAAAAAGGCACAAGAGAAGTAAAGGAAAATAAATGAAAATCAGAATTACAGGGAGGAAATGGGAAAAGCATTTATACACTGTGGGTATTAAAATTAATACTGGGGAACAAAATGTGTATGAATGGTAATTTGCTTTGTAAGCCTTCACTTGGTCACAACAAAAAAAAAAACCGCTAAAAATAAAGTGTTTATGGAATATATTATCAATGTGATGATGTAATTTTTTTAGTTCACCAAAACTGCACATTTCTTTTTGGCAGAGGTTTGACAAAATGTACAGTTAAATTTTTAAATTTGCTTTAAATTAGCAATTATTGTTACTTCTCCCTTATTCAATAAAAGTAGTTCAAATAGGAAAAAAAAATAGATCTTTGTTTCAACTGAAACTCAAACTCATGGTGGTGGAGTGAGAGGTGCCTTCTAGCTACCTTCCAGCTGGTGGTTTGGGGCTGTAACTGCACAGAGGAGACTGCCTATCTTTTACCCATGCAGCTGCTAGTGGATTTGAACCACCACAGAGGGTAGCCTTTGGGTTAGTGTTAGCATAACTTCCTACAGACTATGCCACCAGAGCTCCCCTGAGAGGGGATCAATTTCTAGGTTTTTACATGAATAATTAATTGTAGCAGCTTATTCATTGAAATACTCATCCTTTCTCCATTGCTATTGTCCTGTATCAAGTGTCCACATAGTTAAGTCTGTTTATGGCTCTCTTTTCTGTTTGTGACCTACTGTGTCTATTCCTGTGCTAAATATGCATTATCAGGTTTTTTTTATTTTAACTTTTTACTATGATTTGAATGAAAGCTTACAAAGCAAATGAGTAGTTTCCCCATTATAACCATTTATACATTTTGTTCTATATAAACACTGATTACAACTCCTACATTGTAACTGCCTTCTTTCTACCTCCTCTGTCATTCTCATTTCCATTCATTCATCTATTCTATTCCTTCCTATTTTCTGAGCTATAGCCCTGAACAAATGCCGTCCTTGTGATTTTGTATAGTTGTTTGTTCAAAGGAGTGAGTTATCTCCTTGGTATGTCAATTTCAGGCTTGACAGATGATGAAGAATCATCGTTGTGGGATTTCTAGCAATGCCTATCAGCCTAGTAAGATTGGTAATTTTGATGATATTTTGTTTGTTCCATACTTTATTCCTTTCTATCTAGGACTTTCTATGGTCATCCCTTTTCCGATCCAGTCAGTGTTGGTGTCATCTGTTGGTACCATCAGACTGGACCATCTAGTTCTTTTATCTGGTCTTAGGTTAATGAAGGTTGAGGTTTGTGTCAGTCTGTTAGTGATATGAACTATTTTCATGTATCAAGCCTCAGTTTAATAGCTGAACCACTCAAAAGCTTTTAAAATCCCAGTTGTTTATTATGATATAGCTGTCACCTAAGGTCCCAGAACCAGCAACACAACCAACAATGTAAAGTCAAAAGCAAATGGAGCAAAGAGTACAATAGGAGGATTAGTGGAAATTACAGGGAGAAGTGGGGAAAGTATGAATACAGTGTGGGTATTGTAATTAATTTGCTGTGTAAATTTTGATCCAAATCAGAAGAGGGAAAAAACAAAGTAGGATACAGAACACTGTCTTTGTGTGTTCTTTGCACTTTTAAATGCTCAAGTTCGAAAGTTTAGAGAAGAGTTTTGTAATCCCACTTATAAATAAATGCAAAATTTTATATGGCTCTTTTCTAAAAGTCAAGGTTTTATAAAGTTATTTTTAAAATTTTATTCACTTTAAAATGAAAAATTAACTGTCACACTGAAAAGAACCAAAAAACCTTACCTTTCTCTCAGTAATATCATAGACTTTATTGGTTTTGGTAGAAATCTTGTATTTCTGTTTTGGAACCTATGAAAAGAAAGTTATGAAAGAATTAAAATAATAAGCATGAACTTCATGTTAAGTCTATCACTAATCCATATCAATAATTCATGACCTGAAATTTCATTGCTCATTTTTTTCTACAACATATTTTACTAATAGAGAAATAAAAGCTTATATTAAAAGAAAATTAGTTCACTTACAATTCCTAGCTTCTTCTGACACAAGGGATAACCACAGAGTTTGCTAATAGAACGTTCATCCACGACATCGTTGTAGTGAGCTGATGTGATGAACTTCCCCTATAATGAAACAATCTCTCAGATTAATGGAAATCAAACCATATCCACTGCAAACCAAATCCACTGCTACTGAGTTGATTCTGACTTATAGCAACCCTAAAGAAAAGAACTCTTGGCGTTTCTAAGACTCCAGTCTTTACAGAAGCAGACTGCTATATATCTGTCTCCTGCCTAGTAGCTGGTGGATATGAACTGCTAACCTTTAGGTTAGTATCTGAGCTTCTAACCACTGTACTACTAAGGCTCTTCTCATATATTAATGGAAAAATTAATTTATTAGTTCTCTATATTATACTTCTCTCACCTAAAAACAGGGAAAACACTAGTACCCACCCTATTAAGTTTGAAGCCAAAAGAAGAGGAGTAAATAAAGGAAAAACACTTTAAGAGAAGTGTACAGTATTTAATGAGGATTTATTAAATGGTGGATCTTATCAGAAATCATGAGGATGGTGCAAGATAGGGCAAGGTTCAGATCTATCATTCATATGGCTGCTATGAGTTGTAGGTGACTCAATACCACCTAACAACAACATTATTTAAATATACACGCACACACACACCTACACCTACATCCCCATTATTTCCAAGTCGTATAGCTTATGAAATAATTCTGAAGCAAAATAGAGAATTAGTATGATAATGGCTGCTATATTAAAACCAAATGATTAAGAATTATATTGGCACAACAATGAATGAACAGAAATCCAAAATCTATGTAAATGTTCATTAAAATTATTAAAATAAAATCTAAAAAAAAATTATATTGACAACAGAAGTTCAGCAGCTTTTTAAATTACCTTTTTTCTTTTTCTTACAAGTTATGAAAATATAAGACATTTATTTTCAAATGTTAATATTTTAAATGCTAACATCAAGAAATAAAAAATGTAATGTAGATTATAGCTCTCTGCATCTGTTAAGTAATAAATAATCCATGTTTCAGTTTTTAAAAAAAATTTATCAAAGTTTAGGGGAGCTCTGGTGGCCTAGTGGTAAGGAGCTGCAACTACAATCGCAGAGGCGCACGGTTCGAATCCACCAGATGCTCTGCCGGGGAAGGAGGGTCAGTCTTCTCCTGTACCAGTCAGATCTGATTTGACGGTACATTCACACAAAAATAATAAAAATTTTAAAAAAATTATCAAAGTTAATAGAATTGCACTAAGAGGGAGTTCTGATGGCTTAGTGGCAAGAAGCTGCACTGAAATCCCGAAGGAACGTGGCTCTGCAGGAGAAGGATGGGCAGTCTCCTCCCATGCGATTAACTGCCTCTGAAAACCCATCAGAAGGTCAGCTGTGGGTTGGTTCCCACTCAATGGTATACAACAATAATAACAATAACTAACAACCATAAAGAATACAGGGGGGAAAAAAATCCCAAAAGGTATTTTCATTCCTAATGGAAGGTAATGAAAATCAAGGACTATCTGTAGACTGCTTAAAAGAATTATGATAAAATGGTTACAAATATCTAATTTTTCATTAGTACATCTCTGGAGACTAAGGTGCGCCTGATACAGGCCATAGTTTTTGCAATCACTTGTTATGCATCAGAGAGTTGGACAATGACTAGGGAGGATAGGAGAATTGACGCCTTTGAGCTGTGGTGCTGGAGAAGAGTGTTGAATGTATCATGGACTTCCAAGAAAACAAACAGATTCATCCTAGAGAGGGTTAAAGCAGGCTGCTCCTTGGAGGCAAGGATTCTGGGGCTTCGCCTGACATACTTTGGACATATTGTAAGGAGAGGCAGGTCTTTAGAGAGGGATATCATGCTGGGTAGAGTAGAGGAACAGCACAGGAGGGGAAGACCCTCTATGAGGTGGATTGATTCAGTGACTGGGGTAATCGGGATGGATGTCTCAGAGGCAATGAGATTGGCACGGGATAGAGCACGGTTTAGGGCTGTTGTACATAGGGTCGCTATGATTTGCAAACGACTCGACGGCACATAACAACAACAACAATAACAACATTTTAGGTCATTATACAACAGTTGAACATTTTCAAACGTAGTTGCCGCAATTACTAGGAACTGATTAAAAAATATCAAAAATGCAAAGAAGTTCTAAATCATACAGATGTAAGGATCTTATAGAACAAAAATAATAATTTGCCAACATGACTCGATGGCACTTAACAACAACAACAACAACAATACATACACAGTCCAGTAGGAATTCTTCCGTAATATTCTCTTCTAAAAGCTGTTCAACAATTCGCAGGGCTTTTCTCTCAAATTCAATCTTCTTTCTCACTGCTGCTTCTAGTTTTGCTCTCCTGAAAGTTTCAAGGAAAAAGTTATTTTACCAGGGGGTGGGGGAGTGGGTGTTGTTAAGTATAGGGGCGCACAACTTGAGGGGTGAGGGATGAATGCGTGAAAGAAACAGGAAAGATCCAGTGTGAAAAACAATGTATATGAACTTTGTAAATAAACCAGTATAAAATTAAAAAATAAAAAGTTACTTTACTTAGAAGCTTTATCATGACTAATTACTCATTTTTAAAAATATAAAATTGATGTAACTCTCTATTTTGCCACTTGAGTATATGTTTTCATTAATGCTATTACTGATTCAGAAAATTCAAACAGGAAACAATCTACTTGTTTCACTGCATGCAAAGATGCCTGCCATGGTAACAGTATTATTTCCCGGACTCAGAACTGAAGCAATCACTAACAGCAGATGCAGAAAAATGTGAAGTGAAATATATTTTCTGGTTAGATTTATACTTTACAATTCCTGTTTATATCTTATAAGGGAGAGTTTTTTCTCTGATAAGGAGCCTGAAATCAGTGTAGCTCAAAAAGATAAGACTTCAGTTACCTCATAAAAAATTATTATTTTTTTGTTAATTCCAAAAAGTTGACAGGTTACTTAGTTTGATAGGGCAGAGTCATGGTTACAAAAAAAAAAAAAAAGTTTTACTACTCATGCTGTAAAGCCTTTATTAAATAACTGTATTACTATGAATACACTGTTTGGAAAAAGAAAATTTTTCCCTTATCCTGACACAAGTGGGACTCGGTCACCATTGCTGGTCCAGTATTAATGGTTCACATCATGAAGTAGAAAAAAAACAAAGTTTATCTGACCATAATGAAGCTATAATTTATTTACAATTAATTATAATTTTTTCCTATAATGTATTTTAATGTGATGTAATAAATCAGTTGAAAATGCCATTGCCTTAGGGCATACTCTATCTCCCAAATACAACTATTATTTTGGTAGAATTTTGCGTTCTTTGCAGCATTACCTACAAAATCATGTAAGCCAAGCCCCTCTAAGTAAATATGTGTGTGTACATAAGACACACATACATATATGTATACATATTTCTATAAGTATACGAGCTCTGGTGGACTAGTGGCAAGAAGCTGCGCTGCAATCCCTAAGGCACATAGTTCAAATCCACCAGCTGATCTTTGGGAGAAGGACTGGCAATCTCCTCCTTTGAGATAACCACATCTGAAAACCCTCTGAAGGGTCAGCTATGGGTTGGTTCTGACTTGATGGTACACAACAACAATACCAACAACATAAGTATATGTGCATTATGTAGATGACACAACCTTGCTTGCTGAAAGTGAAGAGGACTTGAAACATTTTCTACAGAAGATCAAAGACTATGCAGCCTTCAATGTAGATTACATCTCAACATCAAGAAAACAAAAATCCTCACCAATTAGCCGATAAGCAACATCATGATGGATGGAGAAAAGATTGAAGTTGTCAATAATTTCACTTTACTTGGATCCACAATCAACACCCATACAAACAGTATTCAAGAAAGCAAAAGACATGTGGCATTGGGAAAATCTTCTGTCAAGAATCTCTCCAAAGTGCTAAAGAGCAATAACGTCAGTTTAAAGACTAGTATGTGTCTGATCCAAGTCATGGTCTTTCCAATTACTTCCTACGTATCTGAAAGTTGGATAATTAATAAGGATGACAGAACAACTGCTGACTTTAAGTGGTGGTGTTGGAAAAGAGAACTGAGTATCTCATGAATTTTCAAAAGAACAAATAAATCTGCTTCAGACACAGTGCACCCAGATTTCTCCCTAGAGACAAGACCAATGAAAACTCATCTCATACTTTTGAGATGTTATCAGGAAGTGCGACCAGTCCCTGGAAAAAGAAATCATGCTGGAAAGGTGAAGGGTCAGTGAATGAGAAGACCCTCAATAAGAAGTGACTATAGCAATGGGCTTGAGTATATCAGAGATGGTGAGGATGGCACAAGATATGGCAATGTTTAGATCTGTTGCTTATAAGACTGAGTAAGTCATGGTCAGCTAAATGGCACCCAACAACAACAACACACATATACACAAACACAAACACAAACACACACATATATAAACTCCTAAACCCCAAATCTACTGTTGTCCAGTTAATTTTAAACCCTCCGTTAGGTTTCTCGGGTCATTAAGGTCTTTATAGGAGGAGACTGCTTTATATTCTGCTATGGTGCAGCTGGTGAATTTGAACTGCCTTTTGGCTAAAAGTCATTAAGTACTACATCAGCAGGACTCCTCTGTAGATGTTGTTGTTGTGTACTGTCAAGTCAGAACTAACCCACTGATGACCCTTTGGTGGGTTTTCAGAGGCAGATAATCGCATGGGAGATTACCCATCCACTCACTGGAGCAGCTGGTGGATCTGAATGCATGCCTTTGGGATTGCAGTGCAACTTCTTGCCACTAGGCCACCAAAGCTCTCTTTTTAAATTTTTTTTTAATATATATATTTAGAGAACACTTTATTAGTTTCTGTAATCAAACTCAGGTAGATAAGACCTTACCTATTTAAAAGTGTGTAGCGGTTGTTAGGTGCTGTGGAGTCAAGTATGACAGATAGCAACCACATGAACAAAAGATATGAACCCTGTTCTATCCAGCATCATCCTCACACTTCCTGATTCACAAAAGCCCATTCCAGCAGTCACCATATTAATCCATCTGGTTGAGGGTTTTCCTCTCCTTCGCCAACCCTTCAAACTTCCCAGCATCATGTCCTTCTCCAAGGAATAGCACCTCCTAGCAACATGTCCAAAGTAAGTGAAGCAAAACCTCATCTTTCTCACTGCCAAAGAGCACACCAGCTGCATCTTCTCCAAGACATATCAGTTCATTCTCTTGGTTGTCCAAGGGATGTTCAGTGCTCATCTCCAACACTATAGCTCAAAGACATCAATTCTTTTTCTGTCATCCTTATTCATTGTCCAGGTCTTGGATGGATAGCTTGTAACTGAAAAGACTATGGCCTGAATCAGATGCACCTTAGACCTCAAACTGACATCACTATTTGATAATTTAGAAAGGTCCCTAACTGCAGATTTTCCCCATTGCAATACGTCTCCTTAGTTTCTGACTTTTCTACCAAGGATGTTAACTGTGGATCCAAGCAAGACGAAACTGTTAACAGTTTCAAGCCCCTCTCCATCCATCATGACACTGCCCGTTGGTCCAGTGTTAAGAATCTTCGTTTTCTTGATACTGAGACATAAACCATACTAAAGGCTGTTTCCCTTGATCTTCTACAACAACGAAACAAAGAGGACAGCTATAGTAGTGGACAAGATAATATCCATACAAGGAAGATCTGTTAATATGACCATTATTCAAATATATTCTCCTACATCTAGAGTCAAAGAGGAAGAAATTGAGAAGTTTTATGAAACTCTGCAGTCTGAAATTGACTGAACATGTAATCAGGATGTGTAAATGATAACTGGTGACTGGAATGCAAAAGTAGGAAATAATGAAGAAGGAACGGTACTTGGAAAATATGGGATTGGTAGTAGAAAAGAGTCTGGAAAGAAAATTATGAATTCTGTATTTATAATGATTTATTCATTGCAAATACTTTTTCTAAAAGACAGAAAAGACAACTTTTCACATGTCTTTCACCTGACAGGCTACATAGGAATCCGACTGACTTGTGGAAGAAATTGCTGGAGAAGATTAGTATCAGCAGTCAAAACTAGGCCAGGGGCAGACTGTGGGTCAGATGATCAATTACTCATGTGCAAATTCAAACTGAGGTCAAAGAAAATTAAAATAAGCCCACGGGAACCAAGATATGATCTTGAATCAATTTCATCTGAGTTTAATGATCATCTTAAGAATAGTTTCAAGGCACTGAAAATCAATGATAGAAGACTAGATGAGTTATGGAATGATATCAAGGATATCATCCATGAAGAAAGCGAAAGGTCATTACAAAAACAGAGGAGAAACAATACAGTGTTTTACCCCTGTACAAATATGGTTGTCATTGTTATGTCTGTCGAGTCACCTGTGACTCAAAGCAACCGTATGTACAGCAGTGCTAAACCCTGCTCTATCGCTTGCTAATCTCATTGTCTTCAACACTCCTACCCCCATTACCCAGTGACTGAATCAATCCATCTCATTGAGAGTCTTCCTCTCCTGTGCCATCCCTCCACCTTCCCAAGGATGATATTCCCTCTCTAAGGACTGATCCCGTCTTGTAATATGTCCAAAGAATGTCAAATGAAGCTTCCAAATCCTTGCCTCCATACAGCAGTCTGGCTTCACCCTCTCCAGGATGAACCTGTTTGTTCTCCTAGCAGTCCAGGGTATATTCAGAACTCTTTTCCAGCACCACAGCTCAAAGGCATCAACTCTCCTTCTATCATCCCTAGTCAATGTTCAGCTCTTTGAAGCATAGCAAGTAACTGCAAAGACCATGGCCTGTATCAGGTGCACCTTAGTTTCCACACTGACATGGTTGCTCTTCAGTAGTTTGGAGAGGTCTTTGACAGCAGACTTTCCCAATGCAATTAGTATTTTAATTTCTTAGCTGCTGGTACTAAGAGTGCTGCTTGTGAAGCCAAGCAAACTGAAGCTGTCAACAGTCTCTTCACCATTCATCATGATGCTGCCAATTGGCCCAGTGGTGACAATCTTTGTTTTCTTGATGTTGAGTCTCAATCCATATTGATGGCTGCATCCCTTGATCTTCTGCAGCATACACTTGAGGTCTTCCTCAGTTTCAGCAAAATAAAAATCCTCACAACTAGACTCAAAATAAGCAACATCGAGCCACAGATAGGAAAGGGAGTACAGAGGAAGCTCCCACTCAGTTGCTGTAAGTGTGGCTCTGAAGGACACCTGGCCAAGGTGGCCCACATCAGGTCCTCGTGGCAGACAGGACTAACAGGCCCCAGCTCCCAGCTGGAAACAAAGGAGGACACTTCAACGATTTAGACCCTCCCAGAAGAGCTGTGGGTAAGCTTTAACATTA